AGTTAAGGGAATCCGGTTTTTGTCTTCTTGGAGAGTTATTTTTAGGTTAAAAACATGTGGTGGAGGCGGCATGGTGGTTAAAGCACTGGGTTCCCACATGGGTTGAGCCCTGGACTTGGCACTTTGAAAATCACTCCAGGTTGATCCCCTCTGGGGTTTCTGTCTCTCTCTCTCTCTCATGAATGCACAGGCCCTATAACAAAACTTTCTCTCAAAAATAAAAAGAGAGAGAGAGAGAGAGATTGAATAGCCAGTTCCCTCTCTTTTCACCCTGTGGTAGTAAAGCTTCAAGTCAACAAATCTCACTTTAACTCCATCTCCACTTCAGTCCATATAACCACCTTTCACCCAACTGCCTTCCCCCATAGAACCTCCAATTAGCACACAGAACCTCTATCTTGCATGTGAGCAGACCACCAAAAAATCCTCAGGAATGTGAGTGAAACCTCCCAATTAAGAAAAGAAAAATTTAGGAGACCATAAAATTCTGTTTAAAGAAAATCTAAAATTAATAAAATAAAAAAAGAATATGCTTTAAAAAGAAAATAGAAAAAAAAGAAAGAAAGAAAGAAATGCCAAGCAATTGTGCATACATGCCCAAAATCCCCTGAGGAGAATGGAGGAGAAGAGATTGTGGTGTCACCCTTGGGGACTGATTTTTCCCATTCTCTCTCTCTGTCTCTCTCCAGGGAGTGCACACACCCTACGGCAAAAGCCTGACAAGTAAAAGTGGTCAAATATACGCATATTACATGTTGGCTAACACTTGCTATTTTAACCAGCTTTAAGTATATAACTCAGTTGCATTCATTAGCTTCACAAGGTTAGATAACATTACTAGTATCCTTTTCTAGAACTTTTCTTTTTTTCTTTTTTCTTTTCTCTTCTTTTCTTCTTCTCTTCTTCTTCGTCTTCTTCTCCTTCTCCTTCTTCTTCTCCTTCTTCTTCTCCTTCTCCTTCTTCCTCTTTTAGTTTGCTACAGTGTTCATGCACTTACCAGAGAGAAAGAGAGAGAGAAAGAAGAAAGTGAAAAATCACCCCTAAGGGAGATGACCATACCACAACCCTTGTTCCTCCATTTTTTCTCTCAGAATTTTGAGCACGGATACACACTTATGTTTTGTGATTTTCAAACAGCCAGGCCGGGAACATGAACCACACAGATGGCCTTGTGGGATCCAGCCACCTTCACCTCCAAGTCACCTGCTTGCCCTCCTGATACAAGCAGGAGCTCTGTACCAATTAGATGATGACGCCATATGCTCCCTCCCTGGGAGTGGCTATTTTACTTTCTGTCCCTGTGAATCTGCCTGTCCTAGTGAACTGATATAAGTAGATTCACATGGAATTTGTCTTCTGTGTCTGGCTTATGTCACTTAATGTAATGTTTTCAAGGTTTACCCATCCCTTACATATGTTGCGTTTCACTCCTTTCTATCGATCAGACGTACACCACACGTTTTATTTACCCACGTGTCTGTTGAGGAATTCTTGGCTGTTTCCACCTTCTGGCTCTTGTGTCTCACGGTGCAGTGGGCATTGCTGCACGAGGGTCTCTCTGGCTCCAGTTCTTTGTGGCGTGTACCTCGAAGTGGAATTCCTGGGTCATGTGATGATTCTGTTTATGAGAAAGGTCACCAAGAGTGATGTTAATTCTAAGTTCTGTCTTAGTGAGAGGGTCGTGATCATCTGAACTCTGGAGACTCTAGTGCCTCTAGGGATACTTAGTGACAGGACTCAGGTGAGGAGCCTTCAGGCCACGATTCTGGTTCTGAGAGCCCAGTGGGCCATGGGGCTGAGGTGGACCGTGCGCTCTCCAGACAGGGAGGCTCTGGGCTGGCTCCCTCCACAGATGGCCTGTATTTCCTCCGCACTGAGAACGGTGTTGTCTACCAGACCTTCTGTGACATGACCACTGCGGGTGGCGGCTGGACCCTGGTGACCAGCGTGCACGAGAACTTCATGGCCGGGAAGTGCACGGTGGGTGACCGCTGGTCCAGTCAGCAGGGCAGCAGAGCAGACTACCCTGAGGGCGATGGCAATTGGGCCAATTACAACACCTTTGGGTCTGCAGAGACGGCCACAAGTGATGACTACAAGGTAGGTGCCACTTCCCACCCAGCTGGGAATGGGTGAGGAGGAAAGGGGACTTCTGCAGTGTAGGTACCACATTTGCCTAACATGAGGGAGGGTTGGCAAGTGGGCTTCAAGGTAGGGCTGGGGAAGAAGAGAGAAATACTAATGTGTCTTGGGTCCTGACTTCCTCCTTCCCAGCCATCAGGGACCCAGGTACTGACAGGGAATTGTCATCTGCTGGAAGGGGGTGTCTGAGTGCTCTGACTGTCTATCCTGGCTGAGGCCTTTGGCCTCATGGGTCTCCTGGCTTACCAAGCTCAGTGTGTGTTGCTGAAGAGAGAAATACTGATGTGTCTTATGTCCCAACTTCCTCCTTCCCAGGCCATCAGGGACCCAGGTACTGACAGGGAATTGTCATCTGCTGGAAGTAGCATGTCTGAGTGCTCTGACTGTCTATCCCTGCTGAGGCCTTTCGCCTCATGGGTCTCCTGGCTTACCAAGCTCAGTGTGTGTTCCTTTGCAGAACCCTGGCTACTACGACATCCAGGCCCTAGACCTGGGCATCTGGCATGTGCCCAACAACTGCCCCCTGCAGCACTGGAGGAACAGCTCCCTGCTGAGGTACCACACCAGCATTGGCTTCTTCCAACACACAGAACATAATCTGTTTGGCATCTACCAGGTACAAGGGGCTGCTGGCTGGTTCTCGTGGGTGTAGAGAGAAGCAAGTGTTGGGTGTGAGCAGCAGCTGCGTTTCAATAGGCCTGTCTTCCAGGTTGCCCTAGCCTTGATTTCTGATGGCCTCTGTCTTGCCTCTCTCAGGAATTATGAGCCAGGCAAGAAGAGAGACCTATGGGAAAGGACTGTTGGAACAGGAAGAGTGCAAGTGACAGAGAGTGAGAGACAGAGAGAATGAGAGAGAGTGCCAGGTGGCCTGGACTATTGGCGAAGAGACTGACAGCAGAAAAAGGATTCTTTTTAAAATATTTATTCATTTATTTCTTTCATGAGGGGTCACAGAGAGGGAGAGAGACAGACAAAGAGAGGGCTAGAGATAGGCAACCCAACAGGGTCTTCATGCTGGGGTCCATATCCAGCCTTGCCTAGCTGCAATCCTAGGTACACACACACACACACACACACACACACACACACACACTGTGCACAGCAACACCTCAGGACATGAACCTGGACCCTTCCCATGTGGATCCATCATCTCAGAACCTTGTATTACCATGGTACCAAGAGCTGGCCTCAGAAAGATTCTTATTTCAACTGGTTCAGAAATAAACTCTGCTACAGAAAAAGCACCATTTCCCCTCTGTGAATGGCTGTATTTTGAGGAAAGTCAAACCTATTGTCCTCACGCAGTGACTTTTTTTGTTCCCTATAGAAATATCCAGTGAAGTACGGGACAGGGAAGTGTTGGACTGACAACGGCCTGCCGATTCCTGTGGTCTATGACTTTGGTGATGCCCAGAAAATGGCATCTTATTACTCACCTTATGGCTAGAGTGAGTCTTTAATACCCTTTGAACTCTTTGTAGGAAGAGTGATCAATTCGGTTACTATAGGGAGCAGTGATTTACTGCAGCCTGGTTCTCATCTGTTAATGTTACCTGTATTGTCTCTTCTGATCTGTATGGCTACCGCTGATGTCTGAGCTGTCATTATTATTATTACTGTTTTAGTTTTTTTCTATAAGGTAGAGCAAGAAAGAAAAAGTGAGAAATTGCCCCCCAGAGGGGATGACCACATTGCAACCCCTTCTCCTCCATTCTTGCCCCTTGATTTTGGGCACACACACACATGCACCCAGTATGTTTTTCAAGCTGCCACATCTAGGGTTTAAATAAATCAGTTGGCCATGTGGGATCCAGTATCTTTGCCACTACACAACCTATTGACCCCTGAGCTGTCATTAACATCATCTTAAAGGATAGAAAACTGAGGCACAGAGAGGTTCAGGAGCTTGATCAAGATCACAGGGCAGATGTAGGAGAGTCAACACTAGAATGAGGGAATTTGGCTCTGGACCCTTTATTGCTTGCAATACCACTACCAGACCCTTTGTAACTTGTTAGGACTAGGCTGGGTTCATTTGCACAGTTCAGAACAAGTAAGCAATGGTGAGGCATTTTTTCCTTCTTGTTGAGGGTGCTTGCCTGAGTGAGAAAGAGAGACAGAGATAGATGAAGAGGGAGGAAGCAACCCCAGTGAGGCATGGTCATGCTGCAGTTCCTCTTCTTCCATTTCTCCATCCTGTCAGGTTTTGGGGCACACACACACACATGTACGTAGTGTGCTTTTCAAGTCATCAGGACCAGGATTTGAACCCAAGTTGTCAGCCATGTAGGATCTGGCTCCCATGATCATTAAGTCATAAACTGGCCTAAGATATTTTTATTTCTATTCATAATGGGTAACCATTAGGGTTTTTTTAAGTATTAATTTTATTCATAATAGAAAGCACATCTATGTGTATGAGAGAGATAAGCACTTTTGTCAGGGTTGCATCACACTGTGACCCCCTTTCCTGGACCCTCTATCTTGTCAGGATCCTGGACATGCGTTATCATGCCCATCATGCTTTCAAGGCAACCAAGGGATTTGAACCCACAGTCAGCCATTTGGCTTCTAGCATTGTAGTTCAGTTTGCTACTGACCATGCCATCACACTGAACCAGCTGTTAGTTATTTTAGGTATCCAAAGTTGGCAGCATAATATTCTTCACAGAGGCTGAGCTTATGCCATAAAATTCAGAGCCATAATTCTTATGTTTGAGATTTGAGATTTTAAAATAAAGGAGAACAAGAAAAATGAAAAGGACTGGCTTTTGGTCTCTGGCATTGAGAAAGGTTCCTCTCAGCCAAGTTTGGGGCCAGGATCTACCAGACATTGGCTACAGAGGTCTTGGGCTTTACCAGTGTGGCCAGAGGGTTGGGCTCTAGTCTGAGCTTTGGCATAGAGAATCTCTGGGCTGGCCTTAAAAAAGCTGTTTCTAGCATCTTCCTTGAGTGCTTTTTTCTGCCTCTTGTTTTCAGAGGAATTCACTGCAGGATTTGTCCAGTTCAGGGTATTTAATAACCAGAAAGCAGTCAATGCCTTGTGTGCTGGAATGAAGGTCACTGGATGTAACACTGACGCTGTAAATTTTATGGATTGGGGGGGGCCTGTAGGTAAGACTGGGATTGTCGTTGTGTGTTGGTGTGTATGTGTTGAGTGTGATCTGACTGTGGTGTGAGCATGTATATTGTGTGGGAGTATAAACTTCTCTTGGTCATTGGATTTTAGGGGACAGAGCTGTTGGTTACTCAGTCCAGGTACATACTTCCTGTGCCTTTAGGACTGACATAGGGGCTGAGGCTCCTCAAAAGAACCACTGCTGGATGCTCTACCTTTGGGATAAAATCTCAATTGCCTGGAGCTGGGATGAGGATTGTACGTACAGACAGTTTGAGGAAGCCTTTTGGAACTAAGATTCCTTGAGAAACGCAAAGTATTGTTCTCTATCTGAAGTTTAGTTCTCAGGGTAGAACTGGACCTCCCAGATCCTGGCCCTCCTTGCATAATACAGACTATGTTGGGGAGTTATTCTGAAAGTATTGGACATCTTCCAGGAGTCTCACGGAGGCAACCTCTCTCAGGCAGTATCTATGGGGTGAACAGTGGATATTGATAAATTTCAAAGATTTTAAATTGAGTGCTGATTGAATATAAAGGTTGGACAGGGACATCATTTGGAAGAGCATCATGGTTTTTATTTGGTTAATTTAGTGTCATTTATTAAGATGGTGTCTGGATGGTGAATAGGTTTGGGAATAGAGAGATATATAATGAACTGTTTTGGTCATGTGAATCTTGGCATGTCTTTGTAGAGATCCAGGTTGTATTTCAAGGTCTTTCAAGCCAAAAACATTTGTACTAGAGACAGAAATCTTGGGAGCTTCGTGGGTGCCCAAAGTCCCAAAAGGAAGGAGAAATGGAGAAGCATGACCATTTCCCATGGCGGATGTTGCCTTGTACTCTCTCTAGCAAGTGCTCACACCCTCTGGCAAAAATTGAAAAAACAAATCTTGAGGCCATCAGTGAATTGTCAGTAACTGAAACCAAAGGTGTCATTTGATCTCAAGAGGGACGTGCATTCTCTCCTGGGGAGCTGCAGGAAAGGTATTCATGAACATAGTCCAGCCAGGGGATCTGTAAATGAATATTCAGAAAAGTTGAAAAAGAATTCAGAAGGAAATTTTATGTCAGTGAAGCTAAAGAAAGAAAGCTTTTAAAATAATTCATGGGTCCAGCAGATGGTGTAGGAGTTATGTCACTGGACTCCCACATGGCCCCTGTGGTTTAAGTCCTGGACCAGGTGGCTTTAAAATCCTTTTGGGCATGTGTGTGTGCCCAGGAGGAAAATGGATGAGAAGGGATGGAATGGCTATCCCTCTTGGGGGATGATTTCTCAGTTTCTCTCTCAACATTTCTGTCGCACTCTCTCTCTCCATTGTGTGCCTTGCCCTAAGGCAAAAACCTCTAAAAAACAA